TAATGTATCGGCCCAAGTTTTTTGTATCTGAGCCATGTTCCAGGTTAGATTAAAATTGCAGGCATTACAGATCTTGTTCACAGTTTAATCTAAACATCAACACATCAGCAAATATATTTACCAACTCAAGTCCAACCATCACGTCGTCACGGCCAGGTAGGTTGCCGATCCAGCGGATAATTCCATACGTGTTCCCTTTACCTAAAGTCACTTCAACCACAGAGTTTAGACTTGTGCTCGGATTAGTGTGAGCTTCCAAAGGGGGAATATCAATGTCCATGCTTTCAGACCCTACAGTGTGTAGAAAATAGCAAAATCAGATTGAACAAAAGTGGAGAAAACAGATATAAAAATAGAAAAACACTGCTCAAACCTGAGGGAAATTCTCCTTTGTGAACCATGTAGAGTGGAAGCTTAATTTCTCCCCCTCTTTTTCCATTCTCATCTTTGTCCTACAAACATAGAAAACACACTATAAATATCCTGTAAATAGTTGCAATTTTAGGATTGTTTGGAGTGAAAAGTCAATTGCGCCACTAAAGTTTCATTTGATTTTCTGAATGCATAGTCCTCATCTGTTGATGACAGTGTAAACAACATCAGACAGTGTAAACAACATCAGACTTGTGAGAAAAATTGTCCTAAATCACCAGTGAGTCAGTGTAAGGTCAACATTATGACTCTGTATCTATGTTTGTACTCAGGAACTTGAAATGTATATGATCATTGCTTGTCTAAAGTTAAAACACACATATCTTGTATAAATTTAATTTTACTGGTATAGTTAAATCTATATTTGAATAGATTTAGCTATTAAGTTTTTAGTTTAAGTATGTGAGACAGATTCAAAACAAATATTGTCACAAGGAACTTTACAAAACTATCAGATCTAATTTAGATGCAGAAAACTGCGCTCTCCAGATCCCATTGATTCAAAGTCAATCATTTAAATTCCAGTTAGTTTTAAACAATTCACTCAACTCCAAATTATTGTGTAAACTTGTAATGAAAGACTTCCATCCAAGAAAACATAAGCAATTATGTAGCTATAGTGGAAATGAAAGTTCCCGGTTAACATGACAAGATATGTTCCACAACTGACTGAGGATTGAGGCAGAAAAGAAAACATTACATAAAAGCTAAATGGGTTAGGGTTAAAGTGTTAAAGTGCTGAATTCTGAACTGTATTATGTTTTGCTAAAGTTATAACAAGATTGTAAAAAAAAAGACCAATGTTACTAAAAATCTGATACTGACATCCACCAGTCTGCTGTTGTTTAAGATTGCCTTCAAGGGTCTACCGCAGTAGTAGATTTTTCACTTTGTTAACTAAGAATCAGTGTATTTTGGAAACACACAGTATTAAAATAGCTGGGTGCTGGTGGAGCCAGAGTTTTCCATAAAACTTCTAAGGAATACTTTCAACATTTACACTCACAGTGAAATGAATGTTTGGCCTTACTTTGGCATATGCGTCAGTTTTATGAGAATACACATATTTCAAATTATATACTTACTGTGGAGATCTGCACAATATCTTCCTGAATGTCTAGTACTATCCCATAGCGATATTTATCATCAATGAAGAAATACACGCTGTCTCCTGGAAGTATGTTTTGTGCTTGCTGTTGACTGTGGCGCTTGGCCATAGAAGGCGACATAGAGGTTAGAACTAAAGGCGTCACTCTGGAGACAGGGGCAAAAACGCCACAGTTTTTCTCACATCGGAAAAATGACCTAGATCCATAGCTTCCATCGGTTTTTCCCTTCCCTTTGTCTGGTGTCTTGAGAGAAAAGACGGCAGAAAATACTGATGAGATATACACAGATAAACACATACAAAAACATTTCTAATCACACAAAATTTCTCAATGTAAATCCAATTTTAGGGGAGTTCAACTCTAGGTTTGTTGGAATTTTATGTTGCACAAATCATAGAAAATTGTAGGTAAAGAAAAAAAAAAGAAAAAAATATATATATCAAGCACAGCTGAAGCAAAAAACATTAACAATTAACATACTAACACTGGGCATAACTTTCATTCTGAAATTTGTGTACTTAGCAGCTAAAACAAGCTACCAGGTGAGGAGACAGCTACATAAAATGAACTCTACTCTCAGCTTTTAGCCACTGATGGGCAAGTTGATTAAGTAATGGAGAAAATGAGTAATGTTTTTCTTCACTGCTCCTGTTCATGTGTCAGAAACTGAAGCACACAAGGATTTCCTGTGGCAAACATGAGACAACTGTATTCAGTAAATTGCATAATTTATGTAAATAAAATCTGCTTTCATTTCAAACCCCTAATCTGCAAGCACAGTTAAAAATAAGTATTTGTAATCTTAAAACAGATATATATCCTGTCAGTACCACTGAAATGAAATTGCAATTTTATTCAGCTCAAATCTTTTGGTCTGTATATTTTTCTATGCGAGGTAAATAAATCTTAGATGAACCCCAAATTATATTTCACTCACAATACTTAAAAAATAATTAAGTGCTTAACACAAAAACTAAAATATTTTTGCACTCAATAAGAATGAAAAAGCACCGCAAAGCAAGAAGATCATTATCATCGTCCTTGTGTCTGACGATGCAAAAGTTTTCTAGATTGCAGCTTTGAACCATAGAGGTGAGTGTTGAAGCAAACCATGGCATTACAGAAGGAAGCGATGCCCCTCGTTATCCTTGGAAGGACATTTTCAAAATATTTTTATTAAAGAAATTACCGTATTAAGAATCTGAGGACATTTTTAAGAGCTCCAAGTGAATTTTCTACAAAAAAGTCTGACAGAAAGCAACTAACCTAAGTTATTTCTGCCACAGGGAACTTAATGAGCAATCACAGCTTTTTGGGGTTCATCCTTCCTCAACAACAGCAAAAATGTTACATATAAAATGTTGTTTGTCTGAAGCTGTCTTTCTGTTAATATTATAATTATGCAGTATTAAGCATTTGTAACCCCAGTGGTTGTAAATTTTTATGTGCTCACGTGAAAAGAGAAAAGTTGTTTTATTAATTGGTTTAACTATTAGTCATACCTGTAATTCAATTCCAAAGAATCTTCCTCTAATGGGATTAGTATAATTTGGTTCCAACAATGGTCCAATATAGCGAATGATGCCCATCAGTGTCTCATCTTCTTCTTTCACCATCACAGTCGTTCCCATGGTGAATCCCAGGGATGCCTGGACAGCATCTTTGTCTCTGAAACACTTCAGCCTCTCATCTTCAGGCTCACAGGCTAACAGAATATCGGCCTCCTCTGGACTCAGTTGCTCCATGCAGGTTACGTCAATATCATAAGGTAAGTTGTTCAGCGATTTTAAGTACGTGACTGGTAATTTTGTGAGACGACCAGGCTCGGAAATATGTCTCCTATACGTGAAGTCAGAAATGTAACAAATGCTTCCAAGCTTGATATGGAGGGGGGTTTCGGGTTTTTTGGTTACGATAAAATAAACATATGGATCCATGTTGTCCTAGTCTGGTTACACAGCAAGATTCTGAACAGGCACAAAACAAACAATGGCAAGTTTTAAGTTATTGATTTGTATGGCAACACTGAAGCTAAGTCAATAGCACGTTGAAACATTACAATAACTGAAACTGTCAGCTATTGTCAAAATAAATAACTGAAAATTAAACACTTGAAAAATACTCTAGTGAGTGTTTATTTAAAAAAAACTGCGTCTATTTAAGTTTACCTCGACAACTTTGGAGTTTAATTTCTGCTGCTTCGTCGCTCCTTTAGCTAAACGTCCCAGCTCCTACGTAAAGTTTCACTTCCCCTTTCATCCTTTCCTTTCACTTTCTCTACAGCGCAGCTTTCACGGAGGTCCCACGGACAGCACACTTTGTGGAAACGTTTAATACATCTTCTAAACAGCTCCCTGGACACCGATAACTTGTTAGTCTCGCGTTATTTGCTGTTAAACTGCGTAAAAACCGTAATATTTAGAGAGTGACATTGTTGTTTTACAATCTGTTGACGCTCAGCGAGAATCGAGAGGAAAGCCCTCGGTAAAGTCTTACAGGCAAGAAACAACAACAAGGCCCTGACTATTTCTGAGGGGGATTTTCCCTGGTTGCTTACGACCAACTTTGCATGTGGGTTCATTTTTGCTTCCTCCTTTATGGTGATTTGGAACAACCATTTTATTTAAATGTAGTTTTTTTCCTACTTTAAAAAGTTTTGTTGTCCTTTCCACTGGCTACACTTGACTACTTTTGTTTAGGCCTGACCAGTTTTGTAAGAGTTGGCAAATTGTACTGCGATATAAACTAATAAATGGCTTATAAATCCTGTGCTGGTATCTGTTTTAAAAATGCAAATTGGCCACTATTTTGTAAAAAAAAAACAAAACAAAAAACAAACAAACAAACAAACAAAAAATAATAATAATAATACGAGCTATAATTCAAAATATCATTTAAAGGGTTTAATTATTTCAAATATAAGTTCAAAATATCTCATACACACAGAATATATTATGAGCTATAACTGATTATTTAATTTTGCAATAAAAAAACAAGCATTCTTCAAAAATAACTTTCTTATTTTCTTAATGTGATTGAGCTTGAAGTGCATAAATCCGTTGTATAATTATGTTGCTGCAAGTAAAGCTGTCTTAATAGACCACAGTTACAAATCAACTTCTTTATTGAGTACAAGTTTATTGCTCTTCATACAATTGAATATCATGTATAATTTCTTTTTAAGAATTTAAATGTTCGCACATTTATTGTTTTGACATAGTTTGGAACTGTAGAGAGAAAGATAAAGTGTGAAAACAAGAACAAACATTTTTGCAAAAGAAACTACTTCATGGAAAGTACTTAGGTTTCTTAAAAATAAAACGTTTGCATCGGCTACGATATTGAAGCCTGCAAGTCCAAACTGAGAGCAAAATAGCTCAGAAGACTTTGGACTCTGATTGGCCAGGACAATGTACGTCATCAGTAAGGATCTGACGTTGAGGTGCATCGGACTTAAACATGGAGGAAAGAGAAGCGCTGAAGAGGCAGATTGAACTTCTACAAGGTGTTTTTCTGTTTTATTTGATCAATGTCAGCTATTCTGTGTTACATCAGCGAGGGAGAAAATCTTTTTACTCTTGTGCATTTTCCTAAACCAGCCGTGTGTAGATTTAAAAACCTTTCTTTCGGATAATTTAGAGGCAAACGTTAACCGTTAGCTTTATGTTTGTGTTGAGCTTTAGAACTTTAATGTCACTGAAATCAAGTGCAGGAAAAAATATACATCCAATTAACGTGAATTGTTAAGGTAAACGTCTTTTAAAAAATACTACTAAGTTGAATCGATGTGTTGATAAAACAAGCCAGACATTTTCCTCTAGAGAATGATGAAATTGTAAGCAGTCGTTACACCAAAACATTAAAACGAACTGGTAAAAAATTACATCTTTCAGTATTACAGTTTGATATCAGGACATAGTAAATAAAACATGGCACCTTCCCACGTTCTAACATTGTTTAAATCAAAGCGGGTTCCTCTATTGTCTTTCTACAACAAAAACAAAACTAGAATCTAAATTAATACTTCCTGCTCAGATATGGTTTAAAGTAAAATGTACTGGACTAATCACAATCAATATAACCACCTTTGTACGAGTAGGGATTTTGATTGCTTATTGCTTTGCAGCTGACCGGTACATATTACCACAATAAAAAGAGAAAATTCATCATTATTGACTCACAATAAAATTATATCTGTCTGACAAGCCTGGGTCTGCTTTAAAAAAGCCACATCAACCTGGGGAAAGCAGGGAGCAATGCCAGGATCCTGTGATCTGAGACACAGATGGATACTTCTATAAATACTTTGATTACTTAGATTAGAACTTACAAGCAGGCCGTGACAATGCGGTCAGCAGCATAGGGGCACATCAGACGACTGTACTTGCATGGTTTCTTTTCATTCTTTACACCTCAGCCTTTCTGTACATGAAACAGTCCTATTGTCTGCAAAAGTTCTGAAATGACTGCAGTTTTCAGGTATGTCAGGAAGTTGAATACAGAGCTTGCATGGAACATTTAGTGACATGGTGGACTGGACTATCCCAGCCAACTCCCTGTGAGTCAACTGGTCTTAGTAAGTTAAATGTTAAATGTCATAAGACTATAAAAAAACAAGTTAAATTTCTTTAGAAGGGGTGAAGAAGAAAGCTTTTTTTTTTTCTTTTACTAAAATAACATAATGACTTAGGTTTACATCGTTTTTTCTGAATACACACAATAGTTCTTGAACAATTTCCTTTTGGTGGAGTGTGATGACCTGGGCTAGTTTTTTGTCACTGAATCGCCTACAAACTTTCTATCCAAAAGTAATCTAGAATCAAATATGAGGCCAACTGTCTGAGGTCAGGCTCAAACAGCACTGACTCATCAACAGAACAAAAACAACAAATCCAACATTATTAGTTTTTTAAAAATATATTTCATGTTAAAAATATCTAACTTGATAAAGACCAGATCAGTTCTATGATGCCAGTATGGTAAAGTATGGAATAGACAGAAGGTGTGTTTTGTTTTTGCAATGACTGTATGTTGGCAAAATAATAACTCCTTCACAAATGTTCTTGTTGCCAAACACATTTGCACTCCAGTTCTATCACTCATGTATGGTTCCATTAACTGTTTCCAAACCCATATTGAAATTTAGAGAACTTTACATTTCAGACCAAATATACAGATTTTTGTAGGAGGGCCTGTTCCTGTGTCTTGTTTAGGCATGTTTGTTAATTTACTATCCAAGATTTTAGCTTTGCCATCAAAAAGGGTGTTTGTGTCAGTTACTTTTCTGTCTTATTGTGTTTATTTTTTTTATTTTAAGCATGCAATGAATTTTATAACTAAGTCAGAATGATTTTTAAATCCTCAGATCTTATCAATAAACATAAGAGCGTCCATGGAGATGCACCAGTTGCTGCAGCAGAGCAGAGGCAGCCTGAGGTTTCTTCAACAGCCAGAGGTTTCAACACGTCTGATGGCCATCCTCACATCTCCAGAGGGAGGCCGTATGCTCCTCAGAGTCGTGGAAGTTGGAGGAAAACATACTCTCTGAGGAACAACTGTCCCCAGTCAACAGTACCAGTATCCTCAGCTGTTCCCTCCACTTCCCTTCATCCAGCTACCTCCCAGTGTGGCACTAGAAGCATCTCTGCAACAATCAGCAGCACGGGGCATGAATCTAACTCCAAAGCTGCTACTTCTTTGCCAGGGAATCTTACGCAAAATAAAGCGGGAATTACAGTCAGGAAAACTGGAGTAAGTGAAGCAGCAGTAGAACGATTAAACACACTTTCTGAACGGCAGGGTTCAAGTTCAGGTCGCACAAATATCCAGTCAGATGCACAAAAGACTGAAAACAGGCTTGCCATTCTGCCAGCAGAGAAAACTGAAGCTTCATTCAAGACTTCTGCTTCTGTTAATGTCAACAGGTTAATAAGTTCTCAGAGCAAGATTCAAATACAGAACAAACCTTCCTTGAACAAGAAAACCAGCCCAGAAACTTGCAAGACTACTAATTCTCCAACCTTACCTTCTCTTTCCAAAGAATCAAAACCCTCACCAGAGACCCTCCATGGCCAGGTTAATGCGCCACTTCTAAAAAATTCCAAGTTCACCTGGGTGAAGAGTCAGACTGTGAGCTTAGAGCCCAAAGCAGCCAGCTCTGTTTCCGTACCGATGACCAGAGACACAGCTTCTCAGACATCTGTCCTCAAAGCGGCAGCAACTGCTGGGAGTTCATCAGGTGGATCAAGTAAGAAAACGCCTCCCAGGAAGTTTCCTCGAAAGCTCAGTCCTGTCACTGTAGCCCCCAAGACTTCAAAGTACAAATGGGTTTCTTCCTCAGGAGTCCAAACTAAGAACCAGCTCAAGCCTTTGTCTCCCAAAGCTCTGATTAATCCTCCAAGAGATGTTGCCAAGAAACTCAAAACAGCCTCTACACCTTCTGGAAAGCCGAAGAGGGGAATTGCAGGTTCTACTGCCAGCTCAACACACATGAGCCGCTACCGTTGGAAGGCCGGAGGTCAGACTGCAGCCGGGTCGGTGACAGGAACTACACCAGTGTCTCGTCGTAGATCTGCCTTCCACTGGACGGCAGAGAAAAGCAGCAAAGGGCTGAAAACGGGACATCCTACTCCAGCTGTCCCCCAGAGAGCGTACCTTCGCTCTTCCTCCCCTTCTGGGTTCAAACTCCGCAGCAGAATGAAAATTATCAGGAAGTCTGGCATCAGGTACATTTACACACTGATTCACCAATATCATTACTGATCAAATTTTTACCAGTTAAGCTGTCTGCATTTTTTTACCAGAAGGTGGCAGCACAAGAGTTTTTATGTGCATCTCAATGAAGAAGAAAATAAATGCATATCAGTATTACCATTTAAATAGTGAAACTAATATATTTTATAGATAGTGACGTAAGAATTTATTTGTAATCATTTAGATGGCATGGCTTTGAGCTGCTGAAATATTCTTTATAAAAAATATAATCTTATATAGCACCATTAAAAGCTTTAACATGCTGACACGCTTTATGTAGATGGAGATTTCCTTTCCAATAAGGCTTGGCACCTGCACACACACACAAGAATTTGTACCTGATAGTGTCCATTTTATCACCGTTCCTGATTGGACAGCAAACACTTCTGACCTAAACCTCACAAAGAGTTTAGAGTATTAAAAAGAGGAAGATAAGAGACATCAGAGGCAACTATACAGATGAGCTGAAGGCTGCCATCAGTCTTCCTGTAAACCTCAGCAGAAGAGATTTCTGTACAAAATGTCATGTAATTGGTTTCATGTAATATTAAAACTTTCAATGAAGCTGGTATTTGATTTCTTTTCTCATTGTTTGAAAAGCACAATTTTAAAAATGAACAGAATTAAGTGAATGAAATATGTCTGTCATTCTGTATAAATAAGCCATGTATATTTTTGCTGTTCTTTATGTTCATCAGCTCTGTTTTTTATTTGTTTTCTTCTTCACCTTAAAGCGTTGTTCTCTGTTCTGCTTTCTTACTTTGCCCTCAGTGCATCAGAGAAGGCAAGCAGTCTGGCTACAGCAAAGTTTCCCCTGCGTAGTCGACTGTACTCCTTTACCAGGAGTCCTGCAGGAGTTCGGAGGACGCCTTCCAGGGAACTGGTCTGCTTTGGCAGACATAAGTTGAGGCGTCTCTCCCTGACCTTGTCAAAAACAAGTAAGAAACACACACCAGTTTTTAAAGGATGAATTGATTTGTAGTTATCTGCAAAATAATTAATGGACATTGATAAGAGTGTGTTGGGTTTTCATAGTTTAGTTGTCTTTTTGTGCTGGCTAAAGTAGCTTCAGAATTACTAACAAATGTCTAGCAATTATTTTACATGTTTAAATCTGGACTTTTTTTCTTCCACTTGTTTCCTAATGATTTTAAAATTTAGTCTGTTGTAACAAATTATTACAAACAATTCAAATTAAAGAAAAAATATGACTGCCGTCAGTGAGACATATTTCTGCAAAACAACTAAGAATTTTGCAAATAAACAAGAAAAAGTAAAACATTTGCATAAATTTTTGATGTTTAACACTTTATATTTCTGATAGTAAAACTAGAATGTTTGCTGATATGATAAAGTTAGAAATTTGTAAGAGAAAAAATTCAGAAGTTTTCTGAAATTATAAACTCAGATCTGTGACATCTGTGTCAAAAAGTGACAGAAGTCCTGTGATAAATTTATGAAATGTACATCTGGATATTTTCCAAAGTGTAAGTGCTACATCCTGGCTCTGATCCTGTATAGAACTATATGTCGAAACAAATTCCCGACTTTGCAATGTCAGATAATTTCCTAAACTTAATATCATAAATGTGGGCCTTTAATTACATAAAATTTTATATTCTTTTTCATAAGTTTACAACTTTCCGACATAAGACAATTAAGTTTTTTTCCTTAAAAATACATGGAATTAGTTTGAATTTTTTGTTTTGTTTGTTTTTTGACAATTATTTATTTCTCTTATGTCTATTTTTTTATGTGCAATGGTCCTAGTTTTCGGTCATACAAATAAGAAGAGGCTTTTATCTACTTCGGTATTCTGCATACGATTGGTGACAATTAGCATAAGATGGCGTTTACGGTTATTTGCTGAACCACTTCTGACAGCACCAGGACTGCTCAGGATAGAGCTGCTAAAAATCCCAGAAATGCTTTGAATCAATCAATAATTCCCACAGACTCTCTGCTTTTACTGGTGGTTCAGTCCTGCCAACTAGGATTTTGTGGCTCATTTGTCTTCCTCCAGCTGTCACAATTATGCTACAGTGTATTGTAAAAGTCTTATTCATTTTTCAGTCAAACACAACTGTCATTTGACTGATTTCTGTTTTAATTTTAGTGTTGTGTACATGCTGAGAGGTGCACCATTAATTTCCTTCCAAATGTTTTGGTTAAGGACTGTGTTGTTTTCTGTCATAGCCGTTTGTCATGTCTGTGTTTCTGATACTTGCTCCATGCTTGGTTCCACATAATGGTTTTGTTCAGTGCTAAACACTTTCTCCTGTACTTAAAGTTAGTTATCCAGGTGTGGATTAGAACATAATGCCATTTTCTGCCTTCGTAGTGGAGATAATTGTGATGAAAATGGGACAAACTATTTGGAAGCATTATTAAAACCCACACATAGCAACAGTTTAACAGTAATAGATTTAGATTTCACTTGCAATTTCCATGGTAGAGCTAAGGTAAAGGGAAGCCCAGATGATTTAATGGCTTTAGAATCCTCTGATAGGTTAACTGACATATTTGAGTTAAGAGAAGACAGACATTTGGATGCTGACTGAAGCTGGTAAGAAAGTTTCCTTCAAATAAAACATTTCCACTGCCACTGAAATGTGTCCTGTACCAACATGGACTGAAAGGCCACTCACAATGGAGAAAGTCAATACTCCAAAAACAAAATTAAAAATGAAAAAGCCAGATTTCAGGTTGCACATGCAAACAGAGACAAATGCCTTCATTTTGGAGACATGTCCTGTGTTCTGATGAAACTAAAATGCAACTGTTTGATCATAATGACATTTGGAGGGAAAACATAATGTATGCAGGAGGCAGCATCATGTTTTAGGGCTGATTTGCTGCAGAAAGGATTGACTCCTTGGTGTTTTGGGGTACTCTGGAGTAGCTAAGATGACCATTGAATATAACCAATCATTTCTGTTTTATTTTGTTCTAACCTACTGGCTTTTTATCTGATAAATTAAATGTTTTTTATTTACTTTTTGTGCCGTTCACATTGTGATTCAGAGGTCAAAGAAGAAAACATTTTAATGTCTTTAGTATGACATCTTTCAACAGCTGTATTCTCAGTAGATTTTAGGAATTGTGTAATCCTTCCGATTATTTTACAATGATAAAGCAGAACATGGAAAATGGGTTGAATCTGTAGTGTTGTGACTTGTGAGAAGAGATGGCTAAAGCTAAAGGGATATGCCACCATTATTTCTGGGAATTCAAATATTTTCTAAAGATTAGTATGCATTACAGATACAGTATTAATGTCCGTCAACCCCCCTCCTTTATTTGTTTGTTTCCCGACATGCTAGTTTCGTTTTTTGGTATTTTTTGCTTTGTTTTTTAGTGTACTTTTATTTTAGAATAAATACACTATGTTTTGAGAACCGTATTTTGAGTCTACTTCAGTAGAGGGCAGCAAATCGCATCCACATGCTGCTTGTAAAGGCTTTGCAGGGCCGCCTGTCACAGAAGAAGCTTACAGACAGAGTGTAAGAGGAGCAGGGGGTGAAGTGTGGGGGGTGTTAATTGATTGCCCAATTCAGCCGTGATGGCGAACAAGTGCCGATAGCGGGTAATTTGCAGAGGTGGAGGCGAGCGGCGCCGCTGCTATCAAGCCCTGGCACCACTCTCCCTTCAGCAGATAAAAAGGAGCTAATGCATAATTATCCTTTTGCAAATTGGATTGTTTTAACGAACTGTAGAATATAGGCCTAACCTGATGGAAAGCAATCATTGTTTTTACAGCCCCCCCTCCTCCCTCGGTGTCTCCCTCCACTGGCTCCTCCAACCCTTTGGTCGTTCTGTGCGCACCCTACACGCCTCATGCCCATCTTGGTGTAATCTCCAATTCTCAGTGAAGTTAGAAGACATTAGAAAAGCCATCACTATTAACATTAGGCTTTATTCGTCCTCATGACTGTCTGTTGATCAGCCTGACTCTCTAGCGCTGCCTGGATTCTTTCAGACTCCTCTTTGTTTTCCTTCTGTCACCTTTCATTTTTTCTGCCTGGTATTTTTTATGCCTTACAAACAACCTAAATGGCATGCAGCGAGGACATGTGCATCTCTAATTAAAGATGGGTGTTAAGACTCAAAAGAAGGAAAGGTGGAGCAGGGGTGAGTGAAAAGGAAGATGGAGCGAGGGAAGCTGCGCGTAGCCGTCTGCACCTCTGATAAGAGCCGCTAATAAAGAGCAAATTGAATTACTAATGATGGGAAGCAGAGTCCCTATAGATGAGCCCGTTAAAAACAACCTTATGACCACTCACACATGCATGATAATACACTCACAAACAATGTTTCTTAATTTCCTCCTCAATGACTAGTTTGAGCCTTCTTGGCCACGTTAACGGGGGAGGTGGCGTTCTGAGGTGCTTGGTTATCTCTGGTTTAATTTAAAGAGGGCATAAACCCAAGAAAGCAGTTTGGACTGTAATGAATTGAGGTGTGTGTGCATGGGTGTGTGGGTGTGTGTCTGTGGTACCATGTACCCAGAGGCATCCATGAGCTCCCAGATAATCAAATAAAGCAGATAAATGTCAGGAACGGACAGAAGACGGTGAAGAAGAGTGCTGAGCCGTGCGGCTTCAGGCCCCATGTGACAGCTTTCTGGAGCATTTTAGCTCTCTATCTGAACTCTTTCCATCACACAGCACGTCTCTCTACTCACTGTTGCTGTCTTTGCTGTGCTGATAATAACCCTTAAGCCTACTTCTGGATATCACTTTTCACATTGCCACCTTTTTTACAACATAAAAGCTAATCAGGCTTTCAGATTTATATTTCTGGACAGTTATTAGTTGTACAATCCATAAATCTGGTCTGAGTGGAAGAGTCACAAGACGAAATCCATTTTTGAGAGAACGTCAGAAGTCCTTGCAGTTTACCTCAAGCAAAATGGGACACAGCAAACAACTGGAAGAGGGTGCTCTATGTGTGGACAACCTTCACATTAATCAAACTGTCTCCACTGTAAAACATGACAGTGGTAGCATCATGCTGTTGGAGTGCTTTTCTTCAGCAACAGCAGGGAAGATAGTCAGAGTTTATAGGAGTATGTGCGGAGTATGTTGGGCTGAGCAAACATTTCAGACTTAGGATGTGCAAAGCAGGTAGAGAGGTTCCTCAACAGAATTTTAGCTGTAATTTCTGCAAGTGATGGTTTTACAAAGTATTGACTCAGAGGGGGATGAAAACAATCATCCACAGTTTGAGTTAAGAATGTAAAGAAAAGATAACATTTTAATTTGCAGTTAAATTGTTTTTTGACATGGTTTATGACATAAAATACCAACAAAAATGTCAAAGTTTACAAAAATGTAAAAAAATTAAGGATGTGAATGCCTTTAAAATATGCTGTGCCTGACTTTTAACAGCCGGATATTGTATTATTGAAAGACAATCAGCTCATCAGCAGGATTAATCCTTTCAGTTTGCTATTGGATGAGTGCTGACCAAAACAACCAGACTGAGGTCATGCACCTCCTTCAAACTGTCTCAGTACAATTACAAATGAACTCTTTAACTATTTGTTTAGGGTGTGAATTATGGTACAACATTGATCTGATACAGTGACCAGGTGCACGCTCCAAGTACGTTTTGCATTGTGGGATGTGGTAAACAATAGTTTCTCTTTTAGCATTAATGCCCTAAATAATTTTCAAGATATCTTTTTAAAAGTCATTTGTTAAGCTTCTTGGATCATTTTTCTGCAAATATAATTCAAACCACACTGAGCAAACTATAGGCGTGGAAGACACTTTGGCCAATAGGACTTTACAGGTTATTTTTTGAAAGTCTGGAAAGCCTCCAAAGAGAGGCATCTAGAAGACATCCTTTTCAGATGTTTGACTTTGTTTGGCTGGGTATGTGACGCTTTCAGCTTTAGCTTATGAACACGCTGCCCGCTCCAACATGACACCAT